CCCCCTTAATATCTTTTTTTTTTTTTTGATTTTATTTATTTCAAATAGTTACAGGGAGAAGTAGAGAGAGAGAAAGAGAGAGAGAGAGAAAGGGGTCATCCATCCTCTGGTTCACTCCCCAGATGGCTGCAACGGATGGAGCCGAGCCTCTCCGGAGCCAGGAGCTTCCCCTGGGGTCTCCCACGTGGGCGCAGGAAGGACTTGGACCTTCCTTTACTGTCTTCCCAGGCATATCAGTACGGAGCTGGTTTGGAAGTGGAGCAGCTGGGACTCGGAACTGTTAGGTAGGAAGTTAGGTATGAGCTTATGTGTGTATGACAAAGGCCTCTGGAGAAGACAGCATATGCATCTACATCTCAAAGTCATCCCAATAATGCTTCAGGGGCAGCCCAGTGTTCACATCCTGCCCTGCCCCCTTCTATCTGATAACCTGCCAGGTGGGGGTCCCCGCCCCTTCTGCCTGACAAATCTTCCACAATCTCCCAGATGCAGCCCAGTACCTGCATTTCAAACACCCCATTCTCTAGGGGGTCCTGCTCACCCTTCCTCTGAACCCAGCTAGGCTTCCTCCTGTCTGATACCTTCAGGTGAAAACTCAGATAGGAGCTTCTTAGTATTTACAGCCATAAAATCCTTTGTTTCAGGAGGAAATGTGTGAAGACAGAGACCCATTTCCTTAAAAACTCCTGGCCTAAATGTAGACCAGCACTCTCTTCAGGTACTGTCTAGAGAGGTGCCCATCCGTTCTTATGGATGTCCCTTCCCTAATAAACTTTGCTACTTCTACTTTCCAATACTGTCTCACGCCTGAATTCTTTCTTGCGCGAAGAACCCTCCAATTTCTCCGGTAACAGAACCAGTGCCCATATGGAATACTGGTGCTGTAGGTCGGGGCTTTAACCTGCTGCACCACAGTGCCGGCCCCATCTGTATTTTTTTTTTAAGATTTATTTTTATTTATTTGAAAGCAGAGTTACAGAGAGAGGTAGAGACAGAGAGGTCTTCCATCTGCTGGTTCATTCCCCAAATGGCTGCAATGGCCAGAGCTGAGCTAATCCGAAGCCAGGAAGCAGGAGCTTCTTCCTGGTCTCCCACTTGGGTGCAGGAGCCCAAGGACTTGGGCCATCCTCCACTGCTTTCCCAGGTGCATTAGTAGGGAGCTGGATAGGAAGTGGAGCAGTTGGGACTTGAACTGAAGCCATATGGGATGCCGGTGCTGCTGGCTAGGGCTTTAATCGGCTGCCACAGCACAGGCCTTATTCCTATCTGTATTCTTTTTTCTTTTTTTTTTTTTTTTTTACAGGCAGAGTGGATAGTGAGAGAGAGAGACAGAGAGAGAAAGGTCTTCCTTTGCCGGTTGGTTCAACCCTCCCAATGGCCGCGGCCGGCGCGCTGCGGCCGGCGCGCTGCGGCCGGCGCACCGCGCTGATCCGATGGCAGGAGCCAGGAGCCAGGTGCTTTTCCTGGTCTCCCATGGGGTGCAGGGCCCAAGCACCTGGGCCATCCTCCACTGCACTCCCTGGCCACAGCAGAGGGCTGGCCTGGAAGAGGGGCAACCGGGACAGAATCCGGCGCCCCGACCGGGACTAGAACCCGGTGTGCCGGCGCCGCTAGGCGGAGGATTAGCCTAGTGAGCCGCGGCGCCGGCCCTCCTATCTGTATTCTTAAAAATTGTTAATTTATTTGAGAGGCAGGGACACAGACAAACACACATACACACAATGCTACCATCTTCTGGGTCACTCCCCAAATGCCTGCAATGGCCAGAGCCAGGAACTGGGAACTCAGTTGAGGTCTCCTTGGTCAGTAGCAGAAACTCAATCTTTAGAACCATCACCTGGTGCCTTCCAGGTCTGCATTCACAAGATGGTGGAGTCAGGAGCTGCAGCTGGGTTTTGAACCCAGGCATTTCAGTAACGAACTCTGCTAGGCCAAATTCCCATGCTTTAGTGGATATTTAGATGACTTAACGCTCATAAAATCTCTGGGCAGAATATCTTTTCATATCTATTGAAGGAAGTCAGAATATGCCACTCCAAAACATGCCACTGTGGCATCAGAGTCATTTTTGAGCTGAAGGCCTTTGGGAAATAGCATATGCAGTAAGGACTCCTTGCCCTCCCCCTTTCTACTAAAAGCAGGACCTAAATTTCTTATCAGAAAGGTGCTCTCCCCTGTACCAGTAAGAGGAAAACATTCTTATCATTGGAGACAGGCAATTGACACTGATCCAAATCTGTACAAACAAACCTTACTAAAACAGTGCTTATGTTCCAGCACCATCCCCCTCTTATTTACCTTCGCACAAATACCGCTCCTAGAGGCTCAAATTCCTTTTTGCCCTGTCAGGTCCCCACAGTTTATCACTCCTTGTTAAAAATGTATACACATTCTCAAGTCTAACCACTTCAGGGTTTTCACTTCCTTTCTGTGAGGCCCTCCACTGCAAGTGAAATCAATCTTTTCCCCTCCCGATAATCTGTGTTTTGTCAGCTTAATTTACAGGGCCTCAGTCACTGGACTTAAGGGGGTAAGAGAAAAGTTCTTCCCCTACCCCATGTTCTCCACACGCACAACTCCTTCCTTGAGGTGAAACTGCCTGTCACACTTTTTATACTGGTGTTCACTGCCAAAGTGCCCTCCACAAAGCCTGCTGGCATATTTATGGCCACTCTGACACTGTGAGTACACACTCTGGGGACGCTTGTTTTCTCAGCGCTAAATTCCATTGCTTCATAGAGCCTTCTGCTTCCACTTACCACAGTCTTTTCTTTTTATGAAGCCCTTTCTGCCCAGGCACTGTAAGCACTTAGCAGCTGAACACTTCACTGTTCTGTTAAAATTGTTTCAAGAGAAAAAAAAAGGAGACATTCCAGCTTCTATTTGTGCCTGGGTATACAGGGTAGTAGGAATATAATATGAATTAGACTGAGAAATTCACAGTTCAGTGGGCATTGAAACCTTGCTGTTGCCCAATGCATTTATTTTGTGATTAGCCTAAGGTGACAAAGGATTTAAAATGGGTACAATTAGTCTCCTGTTAACAGACAGAACAGCTCCGGCCTCTTTGTGAGAGTTTCCATTGCTAACTAATCAGAGAGGTGCACACATTTTCACTCCCAGCAACAGTGTGAGGATGCAGTCAGAGAAGCAGTGCTTCCCAAGTAAAAGTACCACTTCCTGCCTAGCCCAGCAGCGCCAGCATTTGGTTCTACATTTATGTAGAGGTCCCGGCGGTACAGTGGTTAAATGTCATATCCCTTACTAGAGTGTCTGGGTCAAGTCCCCACTCTTCTTCTGATCCAGCTTCTTCCGGCTAATGTGCACACTGGGAGGCAGCAGATGATAACTCAAGTGCTTGGGTTTCTGCCGACCTCATGGGAGACCCACTCAGATTGTTTCAGGCTCCTGGTTTTGGCTTGGTCCAGCTATAGCTGTTGTGGACATTTGGAGAGTGAACTAGCAATACAGTTTTCTTTCTCTCTGCCTTTCAGATAAAGTAAAAAGAAATTAAAAAACAAAAACAAAAAACTCGGCCGGCGCTGTGGCTCTCTTGGCTAATCCTCTGCCTGCGGCGCCAGCATCCCATATGGGCACGGGTTCTAGTCCTGGCTGCTCCTCTTCCAGTCCAGCTCTCTGCTGTGGCCCGGGAAGGCAGTGGAGGATGGCCCAAGTGCTTGGGCTCTTGAACCCGCATGGGAGACCAGGAGGAAGCACCTGGCTCCTGGCTTTGGATCGGTGCAGCATGCCGGCCGTAGCAGCCATTTGGGGGGTGAACCAACGGAAGGAAGACCATTCTCTTTCTCTCTCACTAACTCTATTTGTCAAATAAAAAAAAAAAGGAATTAAAAAAAACCTCATGAAATGTCCTTTTTTCAAATGTTGAATAATGGGATGAATAATGCATGGATGGATGAAGACAGCTTGCTATACACAAGGAACAACTATGAATTGGTGGTATTTACAATCTCCTCCACATTAAACAGTTAAGGAAGCAGAGGAGGTACCTTCGTTTTGATGATGGAGTGGGAATAAAAGGTTGTGTATTATAAAGGGGAAGAAAAACCCTGGGAGAGAGCTGGAAGCCAGGTGGGGTGTTGTTCGTGACCAGCACACAGCGTATTTTGCTGACCTACTGAGATATGCGGCGACTGACAAAGGGAACAGGTATGGGGAAGCGGGTTTTGGTAAGTTTTAGGAAGTCTGTCCTGTGAGGTGTGCTGCAACTCCTTCCCCATTTCCCCGTGAAAACTGTACTCTTGTGCTTTGATAATCTGGCCAGAACCCGTGTCCTGTCTGTGGGAAGGCATCAAGCCTGGCTCAGGGTGGACACAGGGTGACAAGGAAAGCGACAAAGGTCCAGGGGTCATGTGTGTTTACATGCGGCTTGTGGTCGAAGATCATCGAACAGAACGCTCCTGCTGAGCTACGGCTGCATGTGATGGTCCGGGGTGGGCTGTGGGTCCATATGCTCTGCCGAGCGCCTGGCACCTAACGGAAGTTTAGGGACGCATTTGCCGACTGCTTCGTCCAGGATAAATAAGATGACGGGTCACTAAATACAAGTGAGAAGGGAGTTGGCACTACCATTACTCAGGCCTGAAGGTGACTCTTTGCAAGTCTCTTCGTGGTCAGTGGGGAGCCAATGTCATAATTCCCGGCCGAAGCCTTAATTCCCACTGCGGTTTCCCTGGCGCCCAGTCCCACCGCAGCTTCCATCTTGCACCCGCTTTAAACCCGCCCCAAGGCAGACTGCCCGACGCCACACTTCCGGGTTTCGCTCCGCCCCCCGCAAGCACTTCCGGTTCCTGCTCCGAAGGCCGCGGCCAGGAGCTATAAAGCGGTAAGTTGCCGCTGCAGAAGCAGTCCCTGGCCAGGGCGCCATAGGACTAGGAGGCGGCGGGCCTTTATTCCTTGAGTCATTCTGTATTACACGGCGGCATTTCTCTGGCGAGAGCCCCGCCCCTACCCGGGGAAGGCGTCACTTCCGGTCTCTGCTGGGTGTGTGTTTTGGGGGTGGAGGGTTAAGCCGGAAGTGGCGCCAGCCCCACATAGTGGCGGAGAGGAGTGTGGGCTGTTCTAGGTGTTTGTGTGTTTTGCGCTGCAGTGTCTCGGACGCTAGGAGAGACTTTCCTGAGGAGAATTGGCGGATATACAGGAGATGCAGTGTGAAATCTGAATTTAACTGGACCCCTTGAGCTTCCCCGTACCGTAGGCTATCCACGGGCGAAGTTGGTCTCTTCTGGGCCTTTGTCCTCTGGAAAACAGGTCCAGAGTTCATTCGGGCTGCGTAAGTCAGCTGTTGCAGGCACTGACTTTTAGTCCCAAACCTCATGGGCAAGCCCCAGGGGTCCTCCCACCCCCCAGTGGAAGCCGGGCCGTTTTCAGAATCCCGGTGGTGGTGATGCCCTCGTTCCCTTTCTCAGCTGGAGTGAGGCAGGGCTGGCCCTCTTTCATAGGAGGCTGACAGTAACGCAGGCTAGAGGTTGCCATGTTATTTGACAGTGGGGTAAAGGAGTGTGAAATTCTGTGTTGCAGGGGACATCGTCAGAGACCCTCAGGGTGTCCAGGGCAGAGCACGAGTCTTAATTTTGCCTCATTTCTCATTTGAAATGAATGCTGTGAGAGAAATGGAGGCGTCCCAGGCACCCAGAAAGTGCTAGCCTGGAACCCCAATTTCCAGCCTCCTACCCAGCTTGCAGCGTTACTCAAGTAGATGCGTTCTCACAGATGCTTTGGCGCTTTATTGTCCTTAAACCCTGACCAGCTTCCTAACCTTCACCCCAAGGCTTCTCTAGATTTTACTCTGCCCATTGGGAAAGTGACTGTTGGGCTCAGCCGAGGATGCTTGGCCTTTGTTCCAGCCACTGGGCACTCGCAACTGTGTATGGTGTGACCAGGGCTTGTTCTGTTATCTCACGGCCAGGAGGGGTGTTCTTGGCAGGCTTGGGTCTGGCCAGCTATGTGGGTAGAAGGGCATCTGTTCCTGTCCTGCACATGGGGCTCAGTGACACAAGGCCTCACACAGTGCCTGGGGACTTCTCTAAGGTTGCATCATACTGCCCCTGCAGAGTTGAACCTGAACCTCTTGCTGCACTGACCCTGAGTTTTGGCATTCCTCAGGTTGTGTGCCCTGAGTATGCGCCCAGGCCCAGCCGACATATCCAGATTCCCAGGCTCCCCAGCCCAATCCATGAGCCAGTGAAATAAGGCAGGCTGAAGGTCAGTGGGCTCAGAGTCAGCTGGTGGGACAACCAGCAGCCTCCTGGCGGGAGAGGAGAGGCAAGGCAGGAGGCCAGAAAGGGCACAGGCCTCTGGTGAGGGCACAGAAGTACGGGAGGTAGAAAAGGGGTGGGACGAGGGTCCACTGGGAGGCACTGTCCTGCCGTGAATGATTAACTCCCAGCCTGAGAGGAGGGCTCAGCTAAGAGGAACTTTGAACTTGGGGCAGAGTGGCCAGAGGACTGCTGTGTGCTCTGCAGAAGAGGATTTGACTGAGGGGCAGGGACTGAGGTCAGGTAGCTGTGGGCTTCCTGAAGGCTCCTTAGGCTATCGGATGGCTCGTTCTGGCAGCAGGAGCTCTGGGGTCCACTGGTTCTGAGCCCAGAGCAGTGGCTTGGGAGGCCTCCTGTCTCTGGCCTTGCAATAACCTCTTCCTCACTGGTGCTTTCTCCCCCCTAGGCAGCCATGGGCGTCAGGTGGTGCTGAGGGCAGTGGGGCATGGCTGCAGCCCTGCAGGTCCTGCCCTGCTGGGTCCGAGCCCCCTTGCGCCCACTCCTCTGGGGTGGCCCCGTGGCCCGGCTAGCCAGCAGCATGGCCTTAGCAGGGCAGGCACGGCAGCTTTTTGAGAGTGCTGTGGGTGCTGTGCTGCCGGGCCCCATGCTGCATCGGGCGCTGTCCTTGGACCCTGACGGCAGGCAGCTGAAGGTGCGGGACCGGAGCTTTCAGCTGCACCAGAACCTCTACCTGGTGGGCTTCGGCAAGGCTGTGCTGGGCATGGCAGCTGCCGCCGAAGAGATCCTGGGCCAGCATATCGTGCAGGGTGTGATCAGCGTTCCCAAGGGGATCCGTGCTGCCATGGAGCACGCCGGCAGACAGTAAGAAACCACGGGGAGCTGCTCCCCAGAGTCCTTCTGGAGGGAAACCTGCTCAGACCTGGGGTGGACCCTCCCTCACCAGCTTCCCTTTTATACTGAGTCTGGCTCAGGGACGGGTGTCAGTGGGCGTCCTCGTTCGTGCCCCCTTCACCTTGTAGCTGAGAAGTCAGGTGGGAGGAGAGATGCCCACCACCCCGTCTCTGTCTCTTGCTCTCAGGGAGATGTTGCTGAAGCCACACAGCCGAATCCAGGTATTCGAAGGCGCAGAGCACAACCTACCGGACCGAGACGCTCTGCGGGCTGCCCTGGCCATCCGGCAGCTGGCTGAGGGGCTCACAGCTGATGATCTGCTGCTCGTGCTCATCTCAGGTGTGGATGCCAGATAGGCTCAGGGCAGCTGGCAGGGCGGTGCTCCAAATATCAGGTCTTTGAGAGGTGGGTCTCAGTGCCCAGGGTCCCAGGGTAAAGTTGGGGGCAAGGGAGGCGGCAGGGAGCCTGGTTTATGACTCATACATAGATGGCCTTGGGCCAGTTGTCTGGTCGCTCCTGAGCTGTGGGGTCCTCCCCCTGAACTGTCCTCGGGTGACAGTGAGAGGTTCTGGGGGTGGGGGCATCTAAAGCGGGGCCTCACCTATCAACAGAGCTCCTGCAAAATGTCCCTGCTGTTGCTTCTGTCTGCACCGTTGTCACCCGGAAATAATACCTAGGTCTCCGACCTCCACAGAGCCCGCTCCTCGGTCCTCTGCTGTCTCCCCCTACTCTGCTCCATGTTCATGGTCTCAAGGAACAGTTAATTTTTTCCGGTGGTGGCCAGGGTGCAGTGACTGCGCACATACTCACTGCATGTCCACATGGGGGCACTCTAACCCCACCTTTCCAGCCCTACTGCTTCATGTGGGTTTGTCTGTCACTGCTTGTCTGATGCACTGGGTCAGGATATCCCTTTTGCCTGAGGCCTTCATTGACTCTGCAGGCGGGGGCTCAGCCCTGCTGCCAGCCCCCATCCCACCTGTCACCCTGGAGGAGAAGCAGATGCTCACCAAACTGCTGGCAGCCCGTGGAGCCACCATCCAGGAGCTGAACACCATCCGGAAGGCCCTGTCCCACCTCAAGGGTGGGGGGCTGGCTCAGGCCGCCTACCCTGCACAGGTGCGTGAGTTGCTTCTTCCCCAGGTGGCCTTGTGCAGGTGCCCAGGAGATGAAAGCCTGGAATAGCCTACAAATTGGTAGGGGCCCGGTGTGAGCGTCCACAGGGCCAGCTGGGTGAAATCATGGGAAGGAGATAGGGAGGTCGTGTTCACCTGGAGGGGTTAGAAACGGGTGAGGAATACACTGGGTGGTGTGAGGGTGTCTGGTTACCCAGAGGGTTCTGGGGCAAGGAGGAGGTGGCCTGAGCCTTGCCTGGTGGCCCTTCCCTAGGTGGTAAGCCTGATCCTGTCAGATGTGGTGGGCGACCCTGTGGAGGTGATTGCCAGTGGCCCCACTGTGGCCAGCACCCACAGTGTGCAAGATTGCCTGCACATCCTCAACCACTATGGCCTCCGGGCTGCCCTGCCACGTTCTGTGAAGACCGTGTTTGCTCGAGCTGACTCTGACCCCCATGGGCCACACACCTGTGGTCACGTCCTCAACGTGATCATCGGCTCCAATGTGCTTGCACTGGCTGAGGCCCAGCGGCAGGCCGAGGCACTGGGCTACCGGGCCATGGTGCTGAGCACGGCCATACAGGGCGATGTGAAAAGTATAGCCCAGTTCTATGTGCTGCTGGCTCAAGTAGCTGGCGCCCGCCTCACCCCATCCACGGCAGGGTCTTTGGTAGAGGAGGATGCAAAACTCCATGAGCTGGCAGCTGAGCTCCAGCTCCCAGACCTGCAGCTGGAGGAGGCTCTGGAGGCCCTGGTTGGGGCTAGGGGCCCAGTCTGCCTGCTGGCTGGTGGTGAACCCACGGTGCAGCTGCAGGGCTCTGGCAAGGGGGGTCGGAACCAGGAGCTGGCCCTGCGAGTTGGAGTAGAACTGGGAAGATGGCCTCTGGGGTCTGTTGATGTGCTATTTTTGAGTGGTGGCACTGATGGGCAGGATGGACCCACTGAGGCTGCTGGGGCCTGGGTCACACCTGACCTTGCCAGACAGGCTACTGTTGAGGGCCTGGATGTGGCCACCTTCCTAGCCCACAATGACTCCCATGGTTTCTTCTGCCGCCTGCAGGGTGGGGCGCATCTGCTGCACACAGGGCTGACAGGTACCAATGTCATGGATGCCCACCTCCTGTTCCTGTGGCCTCACTGATGGTGTAGGTCACATTTTGGGAGCCGGGAGGAGGCCAACAGGGCAGGGTCCTAGGGCAGCCCAGAGTTGGTCCCCAAGGCCTCTTCATGATTTAGGGCCCGTCATCTTGGTCCTGGCTGCTTGGTTGGTGCTTGTACCACCCACCCAGGGGCTGTGCTCCATGTCTATTACCCCCCATTCAGCTTGGCAGATGGGGGTTCCTGCCGCGGCTGATCCCTAAAGACCAGGACAATTGTCTGGTCTGGTTCTCTGCCCCTCTTCCCCCCCGGGCAGTCCCCCTGTTTGTTTGTTTTTCTGTGGAGTGAAACAAGAAAGACTGAAAATAAAAAGGACTACACTGGTGTTTCATGACCCATCTTCTCTCGGAGGAAACACTCGCTGGGGAGACCCTGGGGAAGTGTCCCATGCCCCTTGCTGGGCACACACCCGGGCTCCTCTCACATAGCTGGAGCCTGTGAAGGTTGATTGAGCCAGGCTTCTGACAGCCTCAGTGTGGGTGAGCAGAGACCCCAGGGAGGACAGGGGTCCTGGAGTGGCTGGACTCCAGGACTCCCTGTGGCATCCTTGCTGTGGTCTCCAGCTGCTTGTAGGAGTGAGTGTGTGCTGTGGGTGTGTGCCTGCCGCCAGAGGCATCTCTTCTGTCTTTGGACAGCCCTTGGCTTCAGGTGAGCTGATGTGCATCCTGCCCCCCAGCCCTGCAAGGATGCTGCACCTTGTTTTCCTAGGCTGAATGTTCCTTCAGCCACTCCTCTGCAACACAGTCGAGGGCTTATGCCAGCCCTTTCAGGGGTCTCCATTGCTGGGATGGTAGGTCAGAGCAGTGATGGGATCCAGCAGCCCTGTCTCCTTCCCCGTTGGGAAGAAGCTGGCGAGAGAGGAGGCAAGTGGGGAGGAATGGCTGCCCTGGCTTGATAAGCAGCCTGGTTGCAGGGGAGAGGGAACCACTGGCTCTATTCTCTTTGGGGCCCTCTTGCTCAGTATCAGAGCCCTCCGCTGGCCATCCCCGCCGTGCGCCACGGCTCCAATCCCTATATGAGTGAGCAGTAGAATCACATAGGAATAAAAAGCCATAGAGAACAGCGAGGCCTGGGGCTGCTCCTGTGGGCTCTTCCTCCATCCCCACCCTCTCTTCCTCCCTATGGGTGGTGAGCACCTCTGGGGAGAGCCTCCCTTCCCCTCTTGGGCTCAGAAAGCCCAGCAGGCAGACAGTTCATGACTGGGGACCTGCTCACATGGGGCAAGCTGGGATTGGGAAGGCGGGAGCAAGGAGAGCTGGGTTCAGGCAGGGAGGGTTAGGGAAGGGGTGTGCACCCCACCGTGATGCATGCAAGACTTCCTCCTGTCTTGGCGTGGAGTCCTGCTGAGCAGCCACAAGTCTTGGGGGATTCTGTTGTCCTCACAGGGCAGTGCCTGTGCCTTGGTGTTCCCTTGGCTGTGCTCTGTACATGGCTCTGGCCTTATCCTTGGACATGTGACTGTTAGCTCTGGTACAAGTTCCAGGGGCGAGAAGGACAGGAGAGCTGGAGCTGAGAGCTTGCTGCCACGTCCTTAGTGTCTGCACGCACATGTGTGGCACGACAATGTTGGTGTTGGCATGCCAAGAGGGAGACTGCGTCTAGGAGCATGCTGTAGGTGCTTGGTGCAGGGCATGCTCTGCTTTGCATATCGCTGGCTGCATGCCTGCCGAGAGCTGTGGCTGTGGGCGGGTCTAGCAGGGGACTCCCCCTGCTCCACCTTGGCCCCTTTCCTGTGGGAGCTGTGGGGGCTGGGACGCCATGGCCTGGGTTGGGCCACATAAGGGTGAGTAGTTTGTGGGCCTTCCCCATTAGATGCTCTCTCAGTACCCTGGAGGTAAGAGGATATATTTGGCAAAGTGAGATCAACCCTGCATGGTGAGTATTCAATAGGACTCATCATTTGCTCCACATGTGTCAATTATGGATCATTGCAGCACTCCCCTCCCTGGGCTCTTTGGCTTCTGTCTCTTCTGCTCAGCTTCCTGCTGCCCTTACCCACCTTGTAGCCATCCCCTGAAGCATTGCCTGGCCCAGCTGGACGCTGTCACCATGGAGGATGCCCGACCCCCCTGGCTGCTGCAGCCGTTGCAAGCTCCTTCAGCTTTGTGGTGTGGTTTGTTGGAAAGCCATGTGCAGCTGAGTGTGGGCCCCAGTGTGCACATCTGTGTGTGTGCACGAGTATCTGTGTAGGCTTGTGTATGTGTCCAGGGCAACTCATGACCAATTACAGAGTGGGCCTCTGTTGCAGCTTGGAGTAGTGAGAATGTTGGGGATATGTTGGGGCAAGTTGGCCAGGGGTGCCAAAAAGGCTGGCAGAGGCTGGTTGACAAAGGACCTCGTGTGCCTGGCTGAGGAAGCTGACTTCCTGTTGACAGTGGTGCTGAGCCTCGTGATGATTTGGGCAGGGAGTCATGCCACGAGGCTGTTTTGGGACAGCTGTAGTAATATGGAGGGTCACCTTGCTTACTGCAGGGGTTGGGAGATGGTGCTAATGCAAGGAGACAGAGGGAGAGACACAGATAGGAAAAAGTGCCTCACACGGCCCCAAGAAGCCCTTCCCCCTCCTCAGCCCACCCTTTGCAGCTTCAACCTCACAGCCCATGGCCAGTCTGGGCAACCCTTTAGATCCAAGGCTGGAAGCCCTGGTTCCAACACCTCAGAAGTAACTGAGCCCGTCTGTCCCTGGGAATGCCACTGGGGCCTTGAGGATCTAGGGGCAGATGGTGTGGGCAGCTACTGGATACCCATGGGGCATAGGGACCACGTGCTCATTTGCATCTCACCAGGAGGGCAGTTCAGTGGCCCTTGCCCTGACCTCAGTTTTCTCCTGTCTGATGGAGACAACATGCTTGCCCTGCTCACCTCTTTGGGGAATTGTCAGTGGCAGGTGGGTGTATATGGGGCAGCTCTGTGAGAGTGAAGGCTTAGGAGGGAGAGAAGGGAGTGGTGTTGGCCTCTTCCAAGGAGGATCCCAGAGAACTCTGGCTCAGGAGGCCCCCTTCCTCCAGGGAAAGGCCAGGGTTAGAGCCAGTAGTGCCTTGGTGTTTACTGACTGGGGCTGAGTGAGCAGCCTACTGCACTGGTCTGGCACTAATAGGGAGTGATGTTTGAGTCTTTAATGGCAAATGGGGTGCCCAGTGCCCTGGGAGGTCATGGAGCTGATGGCTGGCGGAAGGGGGCAGGGCATGGCCAGCTGAAGCTGGAGGAAGCTGACCCAAGTGTCTCAGAAAATCAGGCAGTGCCGTCTGCATCCCTCTGGGTCTGGGTCTGATATGAGAGACATGAAGAGACCCAGACTGGGGTGGGGAGGATTGTCCTGACTGCAGACCACGGGTCCCTACTTGAGAGAGCAGACTCTTGATGTGTGCTAATGGTTGTACAGGGGGACAGGGACCTAGGCAGGATGCCTGTGAGATAGGACCATGGAGGGGAACAAGGGTGTGGGGTCAGTCTCCCCAGGTACGTACTGAAGGCAGTCCTGGGGCTCGGTCCCCCCCGCCCATCACGGGATGGGGTAGGCTGGAGGTTGCCACTCACCCCTGCACCAGCTCATGCCCACAGCCCTGATCCGACCTCTCTGCACATGCTGCTCCACATGGGGCTGGGAGGATGGCTGCAGCCCTGCTCGAACAAGTAGGTTCTGGCCGAGGGCAGTGGTCAGGTGGCCCCTGGAAACCACTGCCCCATCTGCCCAGTGGTGGAGGGGCCACTACTCTGACTCACAGGATCACTGCTCACCACCATCTGGTCCAGTGCGGCTCTGTGGGGGTCCAGGGAACTATAGGACCTGGCTCTGCCTGTACCAAACAGCAAGGGGCCACCCCATGGAACACACCCCATTGGGAAGGTCTCTGGCCTCCCCACACTCCCGGCCTTTCCTGCCTCTCCCTGGGCAGCCTGCAGAGCCACCCTGCTCACCTCCTGGGGGAGGTGTGGGTAGCACACCTCTCCATCCATCTCAGTCCCATTGGGCTCTCCCCTGCTGCTGCATTCCAAGGTCCAGCTGAGAAGGGGTGGGGCCCCTGACCCTTCAGTCCACTCCCCCAACCTGCCCAGCCTGAGGGTCTAATAAGCATCTCCTTGTGATCTGGCTCATCGTAAGCATGTTGGTAGTCTCATGCAAGAGCCAGGGCTGTGGCTCCACCTGCTCCCCCACTCCCACCCACAGAGCCCCCATTCCTCCCTGTCTAGCCCAATTCAGGGAGCTGACTGCTGAAATGTCTGGGTTCCTACTGTTTGCAACTCTGGGTAATGCTGTCGTGGTGGAGCTAGTCAAAGACCCCTAGGAGAGAGAAGTAGAGTCATGGCTTGGAGGGAGCCTGCGAAGCTGTGGCAGGGGAAGATCCCTCCCTCTCTGCCCACATCCCCTGCAAGTTCTGACCGGCAGCCAAACCCCCACCAGGGACAGGCACTAGTGGAGGTCACAGCCCCTTGGCCAGTGCCACTGTTGCCACCCAGCAGCCCCGGAGCAGGAGCCCACACAGAGGCGGGCTCCAGAGCCCCAGTGTCCAGGACCATACTCTCAGACCTTCCGGGGCGGGCTGTTCCAGGCAGCCTACCCTGTCTGGTCCCTCTGAGCGTCTGCCTCAACCCGGGGCCACCCACAGAATCCAGGCACTAGGTCAGGGACAGAGCCTGCCAGTACTCGCCAGCCCAGCCCCTCGCAGCTACGTGCTGCCCCTCCGCCCTCCGCTCTGCTGACCACTGGGGCACCTGAGGCTGGCGCGCTGACTGCCGCTCCCGCTGCCCGGGCTGCCTGCTCCCCCACCTGCCCACCCCCAGGGCTCCTGTGCCCTGTGCCTGTGTCCCCGATCCCCTGGGCTCACCTCGGTGGCGCTGTCTCCTCACCAGAGGCACTGCAGTGTGGGAACTGTCCCGAAGAGCCGGTTCTCAGCTGAAACAAAGAGGTGGGGGAGAGAGAGGGGGGCAGCAGGAGAGGGAGAGGGTGAGTGAGCGGGCGAAGGAGTGGAGGCTGGAGGGGGAAGAGAGAAGCGAGAGGATGAGAGAGAAGAGGGGAGGGGAGGCGGAGAGATGGAGCCTGACCCTGGGGACTGACAGGCCGAGAAAGGAGGGAAGAGGAAGTGGGGAGGGGGTGGATGAGGTGAGGGGCCAGCCCAGGAGAGGGGCGGGGAGCTGGGAGGCTGTGAGGGGCAAATGAGGGGTGTGGGTGGAAGGGGGCAGTGTGAGAGGAGGGAGGCAGGGCGGGCTGCGCTGGGCTGGGCTGGACCTGGGCCCCACCCCTGTCCCATGCCAGGCAGTGGTCTCCGGGGAAGCCAGGAGGACTTTGGCGGGCAAAAGGCCACACATGAAGGGGAATGGCAGGGAA